ACCTTTTTGCACCGCCCTCTTCTCCAATCCCCCCCTTCCGTTCGGTACCATGGCATTGTTGGCTTCCGTCCCCCTGCGCGAACCAGATGAACGCGGGGCGTCCGCCGGGAATTCACAGGTGTTCGCGTAGGTGTTGGCAACAGGTCGAGGCGGGTCTGGATCGCGAGCGAGTGACGTCACCACCGATTTCCGAGCATGGTCGCGGTCCGCCTCTGTCACAGGACTCTCATCGATTCTAGACGTCGCATAGTCCAGTATGGCCGTGATCGCCCCTCCGCCCCCGCCTGTGACGCCGTGAACGACTCGTGTTTCTTCACCCCGAGCCTTCGGACCCTGGACCAGTACAAGACCGTTGACTTTTTGGATGTTTCGCTGTTCCTTTTCGTATGGGCCCCGATCCGGCCTGGCGTCTGCTGTCGACATGAGCTTGCAGAAGAATTGTGCGGGGGCTGCGGTATACTCCGTGTGGATCGTGAAGACCACTCTGTCGTAGCTCAGAGCGATGCCATCTCTGTGGGCGGTCATGCCAACACCCGTAGATCTGGGCATCATACGGACCTGTACCGTCTCGTTCTTAAGGCCCGCGGGTGCAGAGCGTTCGATGTCGGCGATGAACCGTCCCAACTCCGGCTTCGATCTCGCTGCAGCAATCGAGAGACGATGCTCCGTCGTGAGCCCTGCCTTGCCCGCCTTGCCCGTGAGCGTGAACAGGGATCTCTCCTCCAGGGGATGACCACTCTTTCCCTCCGCATACTCGGCCCCGAGCTCGTTCAGCTCCTGACCTATCTTCCGGTGGTCGTATTCGATCGCAACACCCTGCACCAGGTCGGAGAGGTGGCCTCCGAGATCGATTTTTATGTCCGTGTCGTAGGTTATGGCCTTCTTGAGCCTCTTGGCCCACGGCAGTTTTTGCCGCTTACCGCCCCTGCATGTGCTACCCGGCTCGTCATCCTCCTGTCCTATTTCTCTGGGCGGCGGGGGCGACGACATCCTACCACCTCTGAGTGTCGACACCCTCTGTTATTTCACAACGGGCAAAATAACACAGGACAGAATGAATGACCATGAAGCGAATACCAAACGACTTTAACCAGCACGACATAGATGAATCGAACGTATACCAGAACAAACCGTTGTTTTCGTGTTCGGTAGTTCTATTTAATCCCACCAATGACACTTACTTCATCAAACGTACCATTGGTGCAGGAGACTAAATATAATGGGGAGGGTAGGGAGGGTTGTGGCGAAGGGGGGAGGGGGTGGCGGTGATCTCATTTCAAGAAGCGTCGAAATGGAAACCCGATCCGAGGCGTGTTGTAGGATTCGGCGGGGGGATCGTTGCTAATTCGCACATATAGTACGATAAAAGTATAAACACAAAGATGTCGTGAAGTGACATCGAGTCTGGTTGAGGATAATTGCTCCAGTAGAAGGGATGAACGAGGAACAAAATTCGTAATTCGGGTGGGAACTGATCGTATCTCACCTTTGGTCCAGATGCCGATGTCGCTGCGTTCGGGGAGTTTGAGGCGAGAGGTGTCCTGGGTCTCATTTTCCGCGTCACCCCTGGGGGAGTGCGAAGGTCCTGTGGGATCACGGACGGACGGATGCATGGCTGGGGAGAGGGTGCATCATCGTGTCTGTGTGTGTGTGTGTGCGTGTGTGACTGTGGGTTCATGTTCAGAATGGACACCTGAAATCTAAAGGAAAACGTGTGTATCACACCACACTGATGGTCTTACCTCGTCGTCCGAGCCTAGCCCGAAGTTGTCCAGGGCGGCGTCCCTCTTCGTCTTCGGCTCCCTGGGTGGAGTGTGGGGATGGCTCGTGGTGGCCATGGCTATCCCTGCTGCTATTGTAAGCGTATACGGGAGGTGTGCAAGCATGGGGATCCCTCGTGAGATCGAAGTCGGGACCAAGTATTATAGCAGGAACACATGCAATAGCGTGGGCTGTGAATGCAGCAGTATTTGAAGTTTGACGCCGGCGACAATGCACGAGCTGCTGGGCAACGTACCCTGTCGCAGCCACTGGAGGTTGACTGTATCACTATCGAAGCAGCGAGTCTATGACGTAATGTGAGCTGCTGAGTCGTGTTGATTCTTGTATCGTCCTTACCCCGAATTCGTTCTCCCTGCTTCAATTTCTGTTTCACACCGGATCAGGTGTGTTTCCGCGAATCGTGAATTTACTCTGCCGAACTCAGGGTATGCGGCGGTGCTAGCGCTCCACTTCCTGGCAGCTGGTGTTTTCTGATCGCCTCGTCGACCACCAGGATGAAGTGGAGTGTGGGCGACGCTCGCCGTGTGATAGAGAGAGATGCTGCAACAGCCTGCTTCCTGCTTTCGAGAATTATTGCTTTCAAAGCTTGTTCAAAGTGTTGATGATGGAGTTGCATAATTATGGAAACCCCGTGTGTCCCTGGTGTTTGAAAGCAGGCAGTCGGATGCGCGGAAGCAAACAGCATTCTACCCTTGTATCGGCCACAGAGGATGCTCTCTCGCGACACACACGTCTATCTCATTTCTCGCTCGATTGTAGTCATCAACCACCACCGTGGACTCGGAACACGAGCAATGTCAGACACGCTTCCTCCGGACCGAGAGGCCAAATTGTACCCTGACCGAAAATGAAGTCAGGCAGCATCCCCCTAGTCGCTGTACCTTCCTCTCGTTGGTGCCGGGATCCTGGGGCTGGTTGTATCTTGTGTCGCGTATAGATGCGTGTCCTCCGAGCACAAGTACCCCGTTCAGAATTTCAAATGCGAGATAGGTGGTTTGCCTTGGGTTTGCTGGTGAAGGGTTTAAGTTAAAGGTCACAGGCGTTTTTGAAACGGTGGCGTGTTTTTGAAACGGTTGGGTACGTCCAGCTTGTCGATCGCATCTCAAATTTCGGAGTGCACCGTGCTTGCCCGTGATTGTAGCTCGGACTTGCCATGATGGTTACGTTTGAGTACGAGCCCAACCGTCCCTGTCTATGCTGTGTTGCAGCGGTGAAAGTGATATCTTTGTCCCCTCTCTCTCTCGAGCGTGGTGCGGTGTGTATGTGACGTGCGCTGGGTTGCAGCGCGGTTTGTGATGTGATACAGCGCGTTTCGATAGGCATAGGAAGCAGACGTGATGATGACATCGTTACGAAAGAAGGCGAAACGAAGCCGTGTTTTTTTTACGATGTGAGGGCCCCACGTCCGGCACGTTCATCGGTACTTCCCATGACCAGTTCCGTCAAACCATTCTTGTCGCCATTGCAATTGTGCATTTTCCTCGAGCAGCATCTTATGCCATTTAATTATTCGTATTCACATATTTTACCCAAACTACATTTGAAGGTGCTCCTAAAGTCGATATGCCACTCATTGCGGAAGAGGCCGTTAGGTCTCGACAGATTTAACGTCTGTTATTCATCTTCCGGTCTTGTTGGACATACTCGTGGGCCCTACACAGGAGTATTTGGTTGTTCCACCGACCTTGCCGGGTGCTTATTTCGGGTAAGGTCTATCACTTTCCGTCGTTAGCTGTGAATCGAGTGCTGTTGTGCACACCAGAATCCATCTTGATGCGCGCGCGTGCTCTGGACAAAGGCTACAGAGGAACACGAGAGCAAATCTATCTGTCACAGAGGGGCTTATCTGAGGTTTGATCCCCGTCCAAACGTCAGAAGCCAAACATTGTGACGTTGTTGTCTCTATATTCCCCTGTTCTGTTGGGGTTTGGGGGCGACAAAAGCAAGCGACAAAACTTTTTCGCGGCGGCGTGATGGTGTTGTGATATGACAAAAATCCTGGCACAGGAGCTGAGACTGGTTTTTTCTTAGCTCACGAAATCCCAGACCGTCTTCTTGGCGGTGACCTAGCGTGACCAAACTGAGACTTGGCACGGCGTCTTACCGCCCACCTCGTCGAGTTGACCCCGTAGCAGCAGCTTCAGTTCAACGCGACGTTTAAAATCAAGTCATTGCGAAAATAACTAATCTGCGCTAGGACTGCGCCGAGGTTCGAACTCCGTCAAACGACACAGCCAAATGTTGCGAGGTTCGTGATTCCACAAGAACAAGCATGAGCGAACAGCACAGTGTAGCTCAAGTGAAGCTGGTGTCTAGGTCAACAACAAGCTGCAAAAAAAGCAATGAAATCAATCAGCTCCCCACACCTGGGGGCAGGCAGCAGCTACGTCCAACAAGATACCCGTCATCGCTCAACGTTTGTGGTCGCCGGTTTGCGCTACGAACGATCGAACTCTCCCACCGTTGATGCAGATGTAGTGTTGCGTCAACAGCGGTTGGAACAACCGTTCACCGTGGCTGAGCCAATGAATAGACCATTTTTCGACCAATACATGTATGGTCAAGAATGAAATTTCAGGAAATGAGTACCAGAGTTCAACCCCCTTTTTTCGCCTCGTTGACGTGGAATTCACGTATGTCCACCAAACGGCACACGATGGGAAAACACGGCTTTCACGAAGTGGTGGGTAGCCTACATAGATATCTCAACGCCGCATTGAAAAGAGTACATGCACTCGTCGGTCGAGTCCCAGAGCTTCATGTTAGCCTGACATTACGTTGGTATTGATACAAATGTTGGTTCGTTGCGCCAAAAATCGATCCGATTTGATCTTTGCCCAGTACCATCTGAATTCACACATGCCCACCCTTCTGCGAAGGTCGGCTGTCTACCCAACCAGGGGAAGAAAAATGAAAAATAATTCTACAACGACACCAAACAATGACGATGCGAGAAATGATGTAAAAAATAACCCAGAAAACTGAATCATCAGCGAGAAAAATGGAAGAACCGGGGAGTATTGCTCCCCAATGCATGTTAGGTCACGGAAAATTGTGAAAACAAGAATATGAAGGACAGCGAAGATGAATAACAAAAGATCGACAACCTCGACACGGAGGTAAACCGCACGCCAGACAAAGATATACCGCACGCATGTATGTACCCCTCGAGCCAGGCTGGGACGCATTTCTCCATCTGGTCGTTTTCACCTGGGCATTTGCCACAACACACACTCCCATGCCTGTGTGCTTGAATTGAACACCCCGTTCGGGAACGAGCCTGCCCTCGCCCTGCGCAATTTAGTCGGGAGGAAAAACAACGTGTGCATTCACACGTACTGCTCACAGCTAAGTTGAACTCGAATCTGCAGGTGCACAGAATGGTTGTGGCCATGATTTGACAGTCGACCGTGCTCATCGTGGAGAGTCATCTGGGCCCTGCGATAGAGTACGGAATCCGGGCAACTCAGCGGGGTGGCCCCCGGCAGCGCATTTGCGGCTTGTTTTCGTCTCGTTGTCGTAATCCCAACACGATGTATCGCGGCAATAGGGGGCGCGGTCCGCAGCGGGGTCGCTTGTGGTGGGGAAATAAACCGCACCGTGGGGGATAAACCGAGCTAGCTGGCTTCGCGTTACCCACCAAGGAAAACGACGCCAAACAACGGAGAAGCCTGCGACTTCTTCGTAGCTTATGCAAATATCAACAGAGCTGACGCTTCCACATGGCCCAGTGACCGGCACGGCAACAAACAGGTGATGCCACAATGAGCGTGCACGGGGGTAGAATAGAGCTCTACGTGCACGACAAGGAAAGCGAGGTTGTCGAGCGGCGCAGAAGGAAATATAGCAACCAGTACTCCCCAAGAACTATTTATTAAGGACACGATACCACTTAGGACACGATATCCATGACATAGTATTGCGACTTTCAAGTTCCGCATCAAAAGGAAAAATAATCCCGTCAGGTCCCATAAGAGTGAACCCGAACGAAGACATGGCTGCTAGTCAGCGAAGAAGGTTGTGTGGTGTTTTCCGATCGAGACCTGAGGCGTCTAGGGATGTTGCCTCACCTTTAGATAACACCGAGGAATCAAGTAGGGCGTCTGAAATTCAGCGAGAGCGAGCGCGAAGAAACCGACGCCCTCAAACTACCTAGTCTTTTTTTTTGGTACCATCGCTGTGCTGCCAGAAGAGCTGAAGTGGGCATGTGGCTTGGGTCATGATTATCACGTGCCCCCGAAGGCGATTGAAGACCACTTTTCACGTTTACGACCGGTGCGTCGGCAGACAGACCTTGTCGCTGGCACCACTTGTTTTTCGACATCGTAGGTTTGGTCAGATTTTGAAGCGAAAAATTAGGACAAAAACTGATCTTGGAGCAAGTAGGGTAGACATTCATCTGCTGAAAGTCAATTCTCGGTTATACACTTCGAACCTCAGACGATGTAGAACTTACGCTGGCAGTAATTGCACGCCATTTCTTGCAGACGTGGCACCCCAACACTTGATGAACACATTTGTGGTGCACCATAGGTGTTTCTGAGATAGGAAACAAATTATCTATCTATCCTGTAGATTTTCATCAGCCAGATTGCATTTGTGGGCACACCTAAAATCTCCGCCTCCTACCAATAATCCTCCTTGGTCTTGGTCTTAGTTTCCTGCTTTGGAGCAAAAACCTCCCCTCCTCCGTAATAAAGTGGTCGCCATTGGGCAGATGCGAAAAACAATCGAGTTGGAAACAGTCGGGAAGATCGCGCGAAGCCGAGCTATCACGAGCGGGCCAAAAAGGCGTCTGGTTGCCACGATACAATCTGCCATGCATGGGAATTCTGTTGCATATGTCCGCGACTTGGAAGGGAGAGACTGAATATCGCTTGTATTAGAAACGCAGAAGCAAGAGAAGAGAAGAAGAAGAGTGCTTCCGGAAAAACAGAGAAGCAGGGGTCACAAACACAAGAACCCCAAAATGGTATGTCTACGTTCCTATCTGCGAATATATCCGTTACTGCGGTCGATCAATACCTGTCCGTATCCAAACACACGAACACCCTCC